TTTAGATCAACTCTTAACATAGAACAAGAATAAAGACTCTTTTGGGATCCAGGGAGTATCGTTTCAATTTAGTTTTGCTTTAAAAACAGGCGAAAACGTGGTTTGTCTGCTTAGAAAGTTGAAGTAGGCTACGACCTTATGTAGTTTCACTATCTCTAGACGCCTCAAAACTAGGGGCCGCAATACTTAACGCACCGTCTTGAAACTATGTTTACAAGTTTCTCATTATACCCTAAGGATGTTCCCTATTGTTTTTGGTGCGTGCCAGACCCCCAGGGGCAGAGAGTCACGCTCAATTTTTGCATGTGTCAGTTTGTCGCCTACAAGCCACGATTCTTAATGGATTGTCTTGAAGTTGTGCATACTTATTCATTTTCCCCTAAGAATGATCGCTATTGTTTTTTGTGCTTGACCAACCCCCAGGGACAGAGCCACGTCTACTATTTTTTCTTTGTGTGTCTGAGTGTTTTGATCTTCTTGAAAACTTTTCATACTTATTCCTTATACCTTTAGGATGACCACTATTATTTTTGGTGCATCTCCGACCCCCAGGGGCATAGCAACGCCATTTTTTAAATGTTTATCGCCTAGGCCTAGGGGCCGCAATTCTGAATGGATCATCCTGGAGTGTGACAGGGGTCGGGCATGCACCAAAAGTTCAGAATTGCAACCTGTAGACGATAAGACTGAAATCTGATGTTGCTGTGCCCCTGGGGGCCGAGCATGCACCAAAATGGGTGTGGCTCTGACCCGGGTTGGGCAAGCACCAAAAACAATAGGAAACATCCTTAGGGTATAGGGAATAGGTATGCAAAGTTTCAAGACCATGCGTTAAGAATTGCGGCCTGTAGTTGTCAAGTGTTCAGTGATAGTGTAAAAATAAAAACATTACTGTACTTTAACTTTCTAAGCAGACAAAACAAGTTTTCCCCTGTGTTTGAAAGCAAGATTAAATTGAAACGATATACTCCCTGTAGCCAAGTGAGTCTATATTCTTATTCTACTTTATAAGTTGCTCTAAAATGACAAATATGAGGGGCCTAAGTCTTTCAGAAGTAATTTTAAGCCCAATATTCCAATTTGTAAAGCGGAATAACCATTTTCTTTCTCATTTGGGACGCCAAATAAAAATTAGAACAATACAATGTAGATCCAAACTGATTGCATATTTGTAATCTACACTTACATTTACTCTAAATAGGCACGTTTGACGGGTATAGGTCAGTTAGACATAATTTAAAATCAATGTGAAAAGTCAACAATTTTGATGATAGCCATTAAAACTTCATCACCGCACAGATTTCAAGTGCCAATTAAAAATATAAGCCCTCAAATATACAAGAAAGAACATAAATGTATGTTATAGTAGGGTAATTGAAGTTTCATTCTCAAACTTTTTCAGAATTTTAACCTCTGTCCCACATGGGCAAAATTGAAGGTGAAAATGGGTGTATTTTGTACATTTTCAGTGTGCATTGAATTTCGAGACTGAATTGGAAAAGTATATATCCCATCGACTCAGAATGTTTTCTAAATTGATAAAAGACAAACTGATATTAACTATGCCAATTTTGGAGGTTGTGTATGCAATAGTGACTTTGCCAGTGAATAGTTCATTTGTTCCACATTTTGCCACCTGGTGGCACAAACTGTGAGAATCGCACATTGCGTGTGATGCTAAATTCACAATCTACACCAAAATTGTCCTTTAAACTCACATTTCTGATAGGAGTAGAACTCTCTAATTTTGTAATCTAAGACAACTTCTTATTGGTGCCAGTCATTATCACATATGTGAGAGCTGGTTAAACACATTCCAAATATAATTATTTTAACACAAAGATCTTTGCTACGATAGCTGATTAATACAGGTTTCCGGAATCGGAAGAGACGAACGCCAAAGGAAAACGTGAGTCATCTCTATATATACCTGACTGATGTGACGAGTGATAACAGATACACAGCCGAATTTCTGCTCACTAATAATTCCTTTGAAGACCAAAAGTTGTTATATGGGACTGTAAGAGGATACCTGAAAATTCAATAAAGTAATTGAATGTCATTAGATGAGAGAACAGAAGAAAAATAGAAATAGTTCGTACATTCCCTTGTTTATATTCATTCTATACCTTATAAAAACATGGTAATGCACAGACTTTTTCTGTTTTTCTTTCGTGTTCTCTTATCTAGTGGCAGTCAATTCTTTTTATGAATTGTCAGATATCCTCTCACAGTCTCACACAACAACAACTGTTATCACTCGTCACTGTTATATAGAGGTATGGCTCGTGTTTTCCTTTGGCGTTAGTCAAATCCGATTCAGGAAACCTGTATTACTCAGCTATCGTAGCAATGATCTCTGAGATAAAATTATATTTGGAACGTGTTTAATTAGTTCTATCACATATATGATAATGACTGACACCAATATTGTCCTTTAAAGCACCCTAAAACCTGAAAAAAACCAGCGCCTGCCAGGCAGGATACGCCCACATTTTCGAGAGATGGATAGAGAACAAGCTAAGAAGAAAGTGATTTTTCCTACAATCAAGGGCCATAATTCAGGAAATTACAATTCGATATGCGCAAATATCGAAAGGAACCGAGATCTTTGTGTTATAAACTTACATTTCAAGTTTCAACAAAATCGGATAAAAATTGTGACTTCTATAGGGTCCACAACTTTGATATACCCTATTTTTACGCTATTTGAGAACGAAGGGCGGCCATTTTATCTGTCAGTTTTGGGCCGATTTTCACAAAATTCGAACTCAGTCGTGCTTAGGGTGTAACGGTGATATAATAATACGTTTTTTTAAATCGGATAAAAATTATGACCTCTATAGGGTCCACAATCTAAAAATGTGATTTTTCATACAATCAGGGGCCATAATTCAGGAAGTTACGGTCCGATATGCGCGAATATCGAAACGAACCAAGATCTTTGTGTTATAAACTTACATTTCAAGTTTCAACAAAATCGGATTAAAATTGTGACCTCCATAGGGTCCACAACCATGATATACCATATTTTTACGCTATTTGAGAACGAAGGGCGACCATTTTGTCTGTCAGTTTTGGGCCGATTTTCACGAAATTCGAACTCAGCTGTCCTTAGGGTCTAACAGTGATATAATAATACGTTTTTTTAAATCCGATAAAAATTATGACCTCTATAGGGTCAACAAGCTAAAAACGCATGTTTTCGTACAATCAGGGGCCATAATTCAGGAAGTTACGGTCCGATATGCGCAAATATCAAAAGGATCCGAGATCTTTGGGTTATAAACTTACATTTCAAGTTTCAACAAAATCGGATAAAAATTGTGACCTCTATAGTGTCCACAACCTTGATATACCATATTTTTACGCTACTTGAGAACGAACGGCGGCCATTTTGTCTATCAATTTTGGGCCGATTTTCACGAAATTCGAACTCAGCCATCCTTAGGGTGTAACGGTGATATAATAATACGGTTTTTTAAATCGGATAAAAATTATGACCTCTATAGGGTTCACAAGCTAAAAACGCAATTATTCGTACAATCAGGGGCCATAATTCAGGAAGTTACGGTCTGATATGCGCAAATATCGAAAGGAACCGAGATCTTTGGGTTATAAACTTACATTTCAAGTTTCAACAAAATTGGATAAAAATTGTGACCTCTATAGGGTCCACAACCTTGATATACCATATTTTTAGGGTGTAACGGTGATATAATAATACGGTTTTTTAAATCGGATAAAAATTATGACCTCTATAGGGTCCACAAGCTAAAAACGCGATTTTTCGTACAATCAGGGGCCATAATTCAGGAAGTTACGGTCCGATATGCGCGAATATCGAAAAGAATCGAGATCTTTGGGTTATAAACTTACATTTCAATTTTCAACAAAATCGGATAAAAATTGTGACCTCTATAGGGTCCACAACCTTGATATACCATATTTTTACGCTATTTGAGATGAACAGTGGCCATTTTGTCTGTCAATTTTGGGCCAATTTTCACGAAATTCGAACTCAGCCATCCTTAGGGTGTAACGGTGATATAATAATACAGTTTTTTAAATCGGATAAAAATTATGACCTCTATAGGGTCCACAAGGTAAAAACGCGATTTTTCGTACAATCAGGGCCCATAATTCAGGAAGTTACAGTCCGATATGCGCGAATATCGAAAGGAACCAAGATCTTTGGGTTATAAACTTACATTTCAAGTTTCAAAAAAATCAGATAAAAATTGTGACCTCTATAGGGTCCACAAGCTAAAATTGTGATTTTTCGTACAATCAGGGGCCATAATCCATGAAGTTTCGATCCGATACATGCCAATATTGAAAGCAGCCGAGATCTTTTGGGGATAAACCTATATTTCAAGTTTCGTCAAAATCGGATAAGAATTGTGACCTGTAGAGAGTCCACAAACAATTGTGGACGGACGGACAGGGGCGACGGCATAATATTATATAATTACTGAATTTATGATCCGTTTCAGTACCCTAATTTCAAATGGCCATATCTCAGAGAATTTTCGGCCTAGAGAGGTATAATTTTGGATTTGTTAGCTTAAGTCCATGTACTGTAACATATATTTTTTATAATTTTTTTGGAGGGGGTCATGTTCCCAACTTTCCGAAATTTGGTCCACTTGGCATGGAATGACCCAGTCAAGACATTCACTATTCACTTAATGAGCATCTACGGCACAACAAGTTTGAACATTCTACCTCAGATTCTTGACCAGCTAAATTGCCTAAACTAACCTCAATCTACAGCAGAGTTATAAGTAGAACTGGCTACTTTCTAGAAACAAGATGATGACTCAGTACCATACTAAATCAATTTGTTTCTGTGGAAACACAAATATAATTTAAATGAGAAATTTGTAAAGGGGCAACTACTTTGATAGGTTTATGTGTGTACTAAATTTTACAAAGATATCTGGAGTAATTCCCAGATGAATGAAAAGAAGGGGCCTCTTTCAATAAGACTGACTCACCAGAGGCAACAGCTATGAAAAGGTGCACAAAAATCTTCATTTTCAATAAGGAAGTTACACCACTATTATAATATAATATTGATCTCCTCAAGCTAACAAGGAAGTTGTTTCAATTTCTTCACGTCAAAACTGTAATGAACAAACAAATTAGTGTATTAACGACTCACCCATTTTAATGTGTGTGTGTGTGTGTGGGTGTGCGTTTGTTTCTGATGTATATAGAGGACACACATCTGAATACACACCTTCTAATCGTGGACCTGTGTCAAGCGAGGACGTCCTCGGTTGAACCAAGGACTTTTTGAACTAAATCTAGGACTATGACGATGTTCAGAAGCCCGGATTTAATATCACATTTGATTTTAAGGTCGATCTGAGATGTTCCGCATTAGGCGGTATTCTACAGTTAGGGTGTATCTTTCGTGTGTTTGATCTGAAAAGGGAAAAATATGATTCTGTGTATCAGGTCCGCAGTTAGTGTTTATTGGACAGCGAGTGTATCAAGTCCTCAGTTAACCGATGTCTACCATACACATCATATATGGTCACGTGAGAGTAATAAGCGGTTATTTCTGCCACATCTAAACTTACTAGCCGTTTTCAACCCGTACGATATTAAAAATCAAGTCATATAGTCATTATATATCATCTGACTGAAATTTCGAAATTTTTATCTGGCGCAACATAAGATTATTGGCGAAATAATAAGTATAAAATACACTAGGGACCGGGTATCATTCAGATTTGATGAAAAAAGGAAAGAAACTGAGCTTACCATCTATAATCTAATACACATATTCAGTTAATAGATTGCCATGACTGAGATCTCCCGACATGAATATTCACCCGATGATGTTGATTATTGGCGAAGGCACCCCAGAGCTTTACCGATTATTGGGAGCCATCCCCGATGATTCATTATCAGAAGTTTTGTTACCCATAGCCGAGGTATCAGTGCACATTCACCAGACCAACCCCGGTGATTAATAAGTTCTATTTCTCATGGAACTAATACTTCGTTTCTTTGGGCAAAAACATCTGGAGCCGCCAGGAGAAACAAATGAAATGAAATGGGGTTTAACGTCCTACTGTTAGCTCCGAACTGGGCTATTGAAGACGAGCATACACCATACAATGTGCTATCAGGGAAATTGTGCCCGGACAGCAGCACTACGGCCTACTCTTATGCCTGACAAGGACAGCTGTCTAGTCATTCGGATGAGACGGAAAACCGAGGTCCGATGTACACATTGACGTGCACGTAAAAGATCCCTTGACATTGTATTCGGGAGGAAGTGCCCCAAGATGTAACAATCTATTTTTAGAAACCATGTTTGTCACGTTACCCGAGGGAGGGTCAATTTCAGAATGGATTTGTCGTTACTTTCTGCCCATTTACCGTACATATGAAGCCAAAGTAAATTCGTTGATTATCCTCTGCCACATTATTTTCCTGGCGTTTGATTGCAGGGTTTGTTGTACCTTTAAACCTCTCAATGTTCCCCAAAACAATTGACTATTCGATTCAGAAATAATAAGTCAATCTAGCAGACAATACGTCTTCGGGCTGATGGCAAGTAATACCCTGACATCCTGCCCCATCCAGTATTTTTCTAGTAAGATTGGGCGTCTCTACTTTCCATATATACATGTAATAAATTTGCCTTACTTTTATTGGAAATAACTACCCTATAAATGCTTTTGTGAGAATATATCTTTAATATCTTAAAAGTTTATGTTAATATCTTAAAAGATTAAGTTTGAGTTGAAACTTGAAAATGTTGGTAGTTTTGTCAACCTAACTTTTCAAGATGTCAACTCGACTTTTCAAGATGTCAACTCGATGTCAACTTGACTTTTCAAGATGTCAACTTGACTTTCCAAGATGTCAACTTGACTTTCAAGACAAATTAGTTTTATCTAACCCTTTACCTTCAATCAAAGGGCGATTCTAACATGTAAAATGTTTCTTACAAGTCAAGTTAGTGCCTTGGAAATTCATGGTCAAATTTTGAAGATTCACGTTAGTGTCTTTAAAAGTTAGTGACAGCTTGTAAATAATTAAATGAGGATCCATTTTGGGGTTATCGTTTGTTGATTCTGAAATCATTCCTATGCAACAATTCGTAACAAAATACCAAGTTAGTACCAACTTTTCTGACATACTTTCTAACCATCATGTACCGACATCAACATATGGCCAAAAACCAACTTGCAACCAGCCATTAATATCAGACCACCAACCCACTTCCAATCGACCATTAACTTCGAATCAGCCACACTAGTGTTCAACAGCCCACCCAAGCAACCACCAACAACGACAGTAATAGTTAGCGACGAACCTACTTCATCAACAGATAAGGTCATTAAAATCAATGTTCCTAGTACCAACAACACAAATAACAAAAGGAAATGGGACAAAAAGCAATATTGTTTTTTTTGTGAAAAATCTTTTTCAAAACTTCCAAGACACTTGGTGCAAATGCATGGAGATGAAGATGAAGTTTCCAGGTATATCCAGGAAAGAGACCGTGACAAGAAATCCAAATTGCTCTGTAAAATAAGAAATCTGGGAAACCATAAGCACAACTGTCAGGTAATACGGAAGCATGAAGGGACATTGGTGGTATCATATAGACCAACTTATAATGTGGATCCTGATAGTTATGGCCCGTGCATATACTGTTATGGCTACTATCTACATGTACAGCGCAATCTATGGAAGCATAAATGTCCGTTTATGCCTCAAAAGCGAAAGAAAATGGACTCAACAGATGAAAATGAAATCGATGGCACAAAGAAAAAGAAATTCTCTGAATGAATGTGTTGGAAGAGTCAATGTTGGAAGAGTCAACTTTTGAAGCCCGCTTCTTCAGAAATAGAAGAAACATTACAAGAATTACTTTACCCCATGAAGTCTGATAACATCTCACGTATAGCTAAAAGTGATCACTTAATTTTAGAGCTTGCAAAGCGGGAATATCTCAAAAAGGGTCATAATAAGGAACAGCATAATTATATTAGAACAAAATTAAGAGAAATTGCTAAACTTCTGTACTTTCTAAGAAAAAACACCAACAATCTAACTGCTTGTTTAGATTTTTACATTAATCCCAAATATTTTAAGGATGTAATAAAAGCGGTTCATGATGTCGCAAAATTCGACAATACGACGCATACATTTGCAACTACATCTTGAGCATTAAAGCTAGGACACACTGTCAAGAAATGCGCTCTAATTGTTAAAGCTAAAGCCCTGATGGCGAATGATAAATATCGTGTAGAAGAATCTGAAAACTTTTATAAACTCTGTGAAATGAAGTGGGAAGTGAAAGTTTCATCGCACGCCCACAGAACACCGAGTGACCTTAAGCGCAATAATCCAGAAGTTTTGCCAACTTATGAAGATGTTGTGAGTCTGTCGAGATATCTTGAGAAAACTGGTCAAGAAAATGTTGAAATGTTACATGAGGAATCTTTTGATAAGCAGGCTTGGAAAATCCTGAACGAAGTAACCCTATGTCAAGTCATGATGTTCAATCGCCGCCGACAAGGAGAGATATCTAAAATGAAATTAGCAAACTTCAAAAAGAAGCACTTTGCCTGAATCACAGATCTTGATAATATTTCCGAATTGGAAAAAAATATTTGTAGGATATTTGAAGTAGTAGATATCGTCGGAAAGGGTGGACGAACAGTCCCCGTACTGCTAACACCACAAATGGTAGAACGCCTTGCGTTGCTTATTGAATTTAGAGAAGCTGTGGGAGTAACTGCAGAAAATACATACCTCTTTCCACGGCCACACTACAACAGTCTTGATTGTATCAGAGCCTCTGACTGTATGCGGAAGTTTTCAGAAGGAGTTACTAAAATCCCTGAAAATTTAAGATCAACAAAACTGAGAAAACAGGTGGCTACAGCATCACAGATGTTAGCCCTAAAGGAAAATGAATTAGAGCTACTAGCCAGTTATATGGGGCATGATATTAGGGTCCATAAAGAATACTACACGTTACCCGATGAAATGGCGCGTGTAGCAAAGCTTTCAAGACTCTTTCACGCGATGGACACAGGCCAGCTGACAAAAAATGCCGGTAAATCCTTAGATGAAATACCCCTTCGATGAACATGAAGATAGAGAGAGAGAGAGAGATGGGGTTTAACGTCCACTCGACACAAACTAGGTCATTTCGGGACTAACATATGGTTCAATTTTATTTCCATAATTCGCTTTCGCGCGTAGGGGTCTTTAGCAGTGGGAGGAAACCGGAGGACCCGGAGAAAACCCACGAGGTTGGACAGGCGACCCTACTCCTTGTCACGTACAACCGGGGATTCGAAACCACGCCAGTTGACTCAATGACAGACTTAATGATACAGCGCGCATGAGCTAACCACTAAGCCATCCAACCCCCCTGAACATGAAGAAGAAGTAGACATATGTAGTTCTTCTCCAGAAGAAGATGATGAAGCTCTACCAATTCAACACACTGAAAGGGCAAATAAAACCAGCCCTGCTGAGGTTAAGTCGGGTGTAGCGCAGACAAAAAGGTCATGGACAGAAGAGGAAACAATCGCCATTCTTTCCCTAAAAAGAAATCCTCCAATTTAGAATGCCCGGAAAGAAAGATATTGAAGATGTGCAGAAACGTCATCCGATACTGAAAAACATAAAGCTGGCGTAACATAAAAGATTACTGCAGAAATAACAGGAATAAAATCATAAGTAATCAACTATTGAAATATTAATAACATGCACAAGTTCAAGTACGGTAGTAATACGTGCTAAGCTTAGTTACAATTGATTATATTACTTCGTGAAATTTGGACTGCCTTAGTGATCTGACATTTTTCAAATTACCAAAGGACTGAGTATGAAAGACTAGGTTTTGTTATTTTAATAACAAAAACATTAACACATAATCCACACATATGGAAAATGCATCACTTTTTTTCCCAAATATTTTATTATTAGGTGGTTTTGTATGTATAATATTATACAATACTATGAACTATTGTTTCACACAATGCTCCCGAACGCAAAAAATATCGGCCCGTGTGCGCGAAAAAAAATTGCACGAGATGCACATGAAAAACCCAATATTCACGTGCAGCATTGTGTGTGA